AAATTGTTTCCACCAGAGCGCGTTTTGTTAATCTGTTTTCCCAATAGAACATAATATTAATATATGTTTATTTTTATACCAGTTGTATATAACTGTATAGTATTATATTTGTGATTTATACCGCACATCATGATTTTTATAAAAACTATTTATTATTGGTTTAGTATAGCTTAGCTTACAGTGAACTATTGTGCATACTGACAACAGTATTTTTATAAAATTGTTTTTATTATTTTTCCTTATTGCAGTTTTAATTTAAAAAGTAAGTTAGTTGCCAATTACATCAAAATATTACATATTAAATATGTATGTTTAGTAAGTAATTTGTTTACTAGAAATGACAGGTGAAAATAGAGGAAGAAAACCTAAAACTGAATTCATCAGCATTATCGAAAATGAAATTATTAAGTTTAAGCATGAAATTGTCCAGGATGGAAATAGTAAGATATTATACATTATTTTCTATAACATAATCACTCCATTAAAAGTTATTTCTTTTCTACATCACAATTTGACCCTGTTTTCTCAATTTGTGTACTAGAAAAATACCATATTGGTAGTACGTACCAGTAGTACCTAAATAATTGATTTGGGTTGAGGGCATTCAGGCTATTCTATTTTTTGTATTCAACCTATAAATTATATTTAAGCATTGAGCATATTTTGCTGAGTTTGGGGAAATATTATGGTTCATTAGCATTAGTAACCAAATTTTATGTAATTACCCATCAGGTAGGTAGGTAGGTACCTACCTAAAACTTATTTGTTATAGTGGAAGTCAAAAATGGTTTTGTCAATTGGGGTGATTTGGCTGATTTCTTAAAATTTCTACAAAATATTTTCATCGTTAACCATATAATTTGTGGTTATAATATCTTTAATACTTTAAATGCTCACAAAAATAATAGAATCGTGCCTGCCTATGCATCTTGAATACCTATGTTTCAACTTTTATTATGACAACTTATAAGGAACCTCATATTAAATGAATATGAGTAATGAGTATTGTATTATCATTTTTCATATAAATAAAAACACTTTATTATAAGTCAAATATTTAAAATGGCAATATATAGCTTTAAATTAGTCAATTTGTTTTGAAAATTACATCATTAATAAAAGATTCTTATCCAAAACTATTTTTATAAATATGATTTTTCATTTTAAGGAAGACAAATTTTCTATTACCTACAACATCATTGTTCTGCCTAAATGTTTCACATAGGTACGTTAAATATAAAATTCAATGAAATATTTAACTGTAAATAACTTATGTTAGTGTCTTTTCAAGTCTGATCACTTTTCTTGATTTAAAAGAGTGGATATGGTCTATAATTGAATAATTGGTAATTATTCTACAGACCGGTAGTAAAGTAGGTAGGTAATTCTTGCTCCATCTATTTTTTTATAGGACTTAAATAAGTGTTTTTGAATGTCATGCAAATTATATTCAAACAATTAATAGAAATTTTTTTGATTGATTAGAAAGCAATTAAATGAACTCAAATTTATCACATTTGACATTAAGTAGGTATAAAGTAATTTATCTTCTTTGTTGGTTTTACGACCATCCTTTCTATGTACCTACATTTGTAATATATAGACATCATATCCAGTAAAAATTGATGTTCAGTTTCATCAGGTATACGTATCAGCTAGAATTGTGGAAATGTGACATACTGTTAAAGGTTTTTCCTTGTGGATACAATTCAATATTCAAGTTTTTTCAATTTAATTCTCCATATTTTTTCTTATTTGTCTTTAGTGAATTTTTATTTTCTGTTCACCACCAAGTGTTTATTTCTTCAATATACTCAAGGTCTAAGTATTAGTTCATTACAACTATTAGTTTCAAGATTATCTTCTTGATTCTTCCAAAATCACAAACTCCATATTAGGTACCATCAAAATTTAATAAGTTATCCGGCTTATCCCAATAAATATATTTTATCAAAATATATTCATATAATAAATAATAATAAAAGTTTATTACAGGTTATAATAATAAAACCAACATAGTTGTTATGTCATACCAGGGTTCAAAATATTAAAGCAAAACAAAATGCATATTATTAACTTATGTAGAAATACTGTAATATTATAATCTATCAAATTTTTAATTTACAGTTTTTTGAAAAACAATAATTTGTATCTTCTGTTGAAAAATTAGGTGATTTAAATTTCAAGTTAATTTCATTATCTTAAGACAAATAATAACTTAGTTCAGTTTTCTACTTATCAGTTACCTATCCGCAGTCTTGTAAAATATACTTTTGATAAATTATTAAAACATTAATACTAGTATTCGAATAAAATACTATTATAAAAATGTATTTTATGAATACTCATTAAGTATTTGAATACAAAAACAAGTATTACTTTCTTGATTTTTAATCAAGTAAGTATGGTAATTGAAATGAAAAAAATCTTAATTTTTAAAAGTTCAAGAATATGTATCTAAGAGGGAAATAGTAAAAATGTAATTCAGTAATAATATAGGTGTGTAATTTAGCTAGCTTTAATATAAGATATTAATTAGAGAGATACGATATCACACCCAAGCGGTATAACCACTTAAATAAACATAAACGTCGGCGTGAACAGTCATAAAATTTCTATTTTTTAACTTTTCTCTTAAACTAGGTTAGTTAGAAAGTTGGTTGATAGCTCATTAAAAAGGGATTATCGAGTAGATACTAAATGTGGAATTAAATTTTAATTAAAATAATTATTAAATTTTTCACATAAAAAAAGAGATATTTTTGGCTAAATTTTCATTCAGTGAGGTAATCTCTGAAACTATAGAAGGGATTTTGTTGTTTGAGGTCTTGTTAGATGCACATTGGCTAGGAGAAGTGCAAGGGAAGATTTTCAAAACTTTATCTCCAATCGTTAATTCACTACAAGGCTGTAAAGCTGAAAAACATCAAAAAACAATAATATATTTTTTTAATAATGTTCTATAGAGAATTAACTATTAAAGATTAAGTTCTGAAAATCTTCACTGCACTTCTCCTAAAAAATGTGAATCTAACAAGACCTAAAACAACAAAATCCGATGTCCGGTTATGGAGATCTACCTCGCTAAATGAAAAACTAGTTAAACAAATTATTTTTTTAACTGTGAAAAATGTAATAATTATCTGCTCGATAATCCCTTTTTAATGAGCTATCAACCAACTAAATAATTTTTAAAATTATAAAAAAATTGTCTTCAATAAGAAAATAGTAAGAATGTAACTCAGTAATAACAAATAGGTGTGTAATTTAGTTAGCTTTAATATAAGATATTAATTAGAGAGATAAAATAACATAAAATAAATTAATTAGTTTTAATTTTTTTAATGCTATGTAGTTATTCAACTATTAAAGATAAAGTCTTCTTTGATAGATTTTCATTGATATAGGTAGATTTATGAAACTGGATAACAGATTTTCATGTTATAGGTCTTGTTAGATTCACATTGAATAAGAGAATTGCAGTAAACATTTTTGTAACTTTATCTTCAATTGTTAACTATGTTACTACTTACCATAGATTTTAACAATTTGAAAAAAAATAATAATACGTCAAACTATTTAGAAGTAAATATATGTTTAGATATTTCATTCATATTGATACAATTAAATTACAAAAAGTAAAAAATAAAAAGTGGTATTAACTATTAACTATTAATATGAAATTATTTAAAAAAATTCAAATACAAAATCCATATAAAATTGGTTTAAACTTTATACCTTTAAATTACCTACTTTTTCTATACAAAATGTTTTCTGTTTTTATAAATTCAATCTCATTAATATATTGTTTTATTTTTATATAATTATAAAGCCTTGAAAATAAGATAAAAATTTATCTTCAGTACTCCCATACTCATGATATTAATAAATATGAAATTACATTTTTGGAGTTAAGACTTACAGATTAAGCCAATTTCATATTTCAATGAATAGGTACAATATTATTTTTATACATGTCAAATTGTTGTAAAAAATAATTAATAAATCTAACTTTGTGGTATTTAAGTACAAGCATTTATATTATGTCAAAAATACTTTTAAAAAGTATTCAGAATATTCAGACTGCCTATCCATTAGTATTTATTACTATTTTCAAGTTTTCAACTATGAAATACAAAAGTTGTGACATTAAATATCTGCAGTTCAGTAGACTGTATATAGTATATTGAATCACTTCATTGTTCTAAAAACCTTGCAAATTGAATACAATGTTTTCCATAAATAGTTTATATTTCTTCTTTACACCTAGTCATTTGTAGTTCAAATTTTGACAAAAAAAATATTTAAACAAAATATTTTTGATGTTAGATTTTGTTATAACCTTTATTGTATTCCATATTTTAGAAGTATTTTTATTATTAAAAGCATACTAATTTTTTTATTCAAATTTTAATTTGTAATTATTTTTGTAATTATTTTTAATGATTAAATTAGAAATAGTAGGTATTCAAGCTGATGTCTGGAGAAAAATTGCATTTAATATAACTGAAAAATGTAATGAAGAAGTAACGCCAGCATCTTTGAGGGTTCGTGTTGCCCTAGACCGTGGTGGTATAAAACAAAAGTTAGGAATAGAGTCAATTGAGTCAAATAAAGTTGAAGAACCTTACCAAAAAAATGGTATATACAATTAAATAAAAATAATCGAGTAGATTATATAACATTAAAATTGTTTTATATTTTTATTCATTTAAAAACAATATATTATTCTTTTTTAAAATTGTCAGAATCTTCATATAGCACATCTGAGGAAGAGGTAGAAGAAAATCATGGTGATGAGCTATTATTTGCAATTACATTTTCGATTAAGGAATGGGAAGCGATTCGTCCGACAAATAAAGTCTACAATTGTAAGCGAGGTCCTAAGACCCAGTGGCGTGGCGAACTTCATCAAGTTATGAGGCACAAGTTATATTGTCAGACCCACCACCCATCCCAAAAAACATTACAAAAAATTTTTTACGATAAAATATATTTATTCATTTAAATAATAATGCTTTTTTTAACACATCGGATGATTTTCCCAAGAGTGTTATTGTCTCTTCATAATTAATTTTGATGTCCCTTTCACAGCTCAAAAACATTAAGCTTTCCAAACGTCCCTGATCCATTGTAGAACGTAAACGTGTCTTAATAAGTTTAACCTGAAAATAATAATAATTGTAATTAGTGATAAATTTAATGTTTAAAAAAATGCAATTGTATTTCTGAAAAGGTAAGTTATTATAAATACTATGAGACCTTTACAAAAATCTTAAGCTCTATATTCAATTTTAAACGTTCGCCCCATAGAAGTAAAAAATAAAATTTAAAATCCAAACTTTTATAATACAAAGCAAGGCAATTAAATATATATATTTTAATTAAAAGCTTAGGGATTGAGAACATTTATATTTTAGAAGCAGAAGAATCAGCAATCAAACTTACTTTGGAAAATGATCTTTCCGCAGATGCAGATGTAACTGGTATAGTCCCTAAGACTTTGTATGCTATATACAAATTGGGAAACGCTGCTGACAAATCATACTTGGACAATGTATAAAGAATAGTACTAACACCAATTTTTGTCATATTAATTTGTTCATCTTGAGTTATATTTTTTTCTTCTTCTTCACAACTTTCACTTGATGAAATTGATTCTGGGCAATGCAACAAAGTAGGTAAATCTATACCTGATGTAAGATCATCAAAACTTTTAGAAAAAATAATATACTCATTACGTAGTTGATTTATATCAATTTCTGGTAACCAAGCCACTAGGTCAGCAAAACTATCTTGAGGAAGATGTTGATTTTCATTTTTAAATTTCCTTAATCTTTCTGGTGATAAAAGTGTAAAATCTTTTAATATATTGTTAGAGTCATTGAATCGAGATTGAATTGAAGTAATTACTTTGTCCAAAACTGTAAAGTATGTATGACATCGATACTTGTCGAATGATGAGCTCTGTACTTCATCGGAAGCTTTTTCTCCAGGTAAAATTTTTTTAGTACGTTTTCTTGATTCTTTAAAGTCTACTTCTGTTAGATTATGATGGTTAGCAAATTGTTTTGCTTCTTTTACCATATCCTCATATTTTTTGTCACTTCTCATCTTAGCTAATTGTTCTTTAGAAGTATTGATTAAACGCAGAGCTTCAATAAAGTCTACTGATTTAGATTGTAAGTAGTTTGATAGTGGTGTTGTAATAGAAAATATTTTTCTTAATAATATCATTGTTATAACAAAATCAAACGATGATATTACATTCAGAAAATTCTTTGCACCAGATGATGTAACTCTGTCAGTTGACTTAAGTAAACATTCTAAAGTTTCATATAATGCTTTATATTTTTCAAAAATAACAATGATAACACGGTCATGAGAAGTCCATCTCGTTGTGGAAAATGATTTTATTCTACGGATTCTTTCAGTAGGATAAATGAGTTTTTGGTACTTAACAAACTCCGATGTTCTCTTTCTAGCTCTCATAAATCCAATTAATGCTTGAAGATCACCAAGAAATTGTCTAGTGTGTACACTAGAATCAGCTGTATCTACAATAACTAAATTTAAGCGGTGTGCAAAACACCATATGTATTTTGCCCTTGGATTTTCTAGCTGAATTAATGTGCGGAGGCCTGAATATTCACCTTGCATCGATGCTGCTCCGTCATATGATTGAGCATATAATTGTTCTTTCCAATTCAAATCATATTTTTTAGAAATATTACAAAATACTTCAAATAATCCTCTTCCCGTTCCATCTTCAGCTGTTACCAGAGAAATTAGTTTTTCTTGAATAATCCCTTCAAAAACGTATCTAGCAATCAAAGTGAATTGTTCAAGATTGGCAACATCAGTGGTAGTATCAATTATAATAGAAAACATTTTTGACATTTTAATTTCATTTATAATAGAAGAACGTATTTGTTCTTTTAAAATGTCTAGTATGGTATTTTGTGTGACATTTGACATGAATGTAAGACGGTTATGGGATTTAGCATTAATTTTATCAAGATGTATTTGTAATGGTGCATGGTAGTTTGCTAATAAATCAACTAATTCCAAAAAATTTCCTTTATTAAGTGATTTTCTACTTTCATCATGGCCCCTCAAAGCTATGTTTTGCCGTGCTGTATATATAATTGCATCAATAATGATTTTAACTACTTGCCGATTTTCAGCTACTTGCCGATTCGCAGAAAGCACCAAGGGTAGCTTTAAATCTAATCTAAGGTTTTTTGAGAAGAGGCTCCTACTAATTTCAGAATGCAAATGATCTGGGAGTATTTCATGGTTTTCTATAATTCTACTAATATTTTTCCAATCTCCAGAACCATTTGAAACAATATTAGTTTTCTTTGCCTTTGGCAACCCAAACAACTTGCATGAAATACAGAATATTTTATTTTTTGAAAGAGAATAAGACAACCACCAGCGTTTACAAGGAGCTTGATTTAGTACTGTTTTGTAATAATAACTTGCATGAAATGAGCGAAATTTACCATTTTTTTCAAAAGTTTTTGGAAATACTTTATCTTCTAATTCTAAAGGATTAGGTTGACATGGTCCTAATTCAACAAAATATGATAATTGATTAGAAGATACATTTTCTGGAATAAGAGCTGGATCATTATTGGATATCTTTGGCATATATTCTTCAAAGCAAAAGTTGTTATTAGAAGCATCAATAAAAGCCTCTCCTATATATTACAAACAATACAAAATTTAGAATATTAAAAGCAAGTTAAAATGCCATAAAACCTAAAATATAATTATTCATTTCAATATTATTTTATATTCAATCGATCGATCTTCAAGAATATAAAATAATAAACTAACCAATATAACAAGACAATTTGAAATAGATGACTATCTTCTTAATAATTAAAAAAATAAAATTGTCGATCAGTCTTTCATGAACATAAAAATGATATAATTTATAAGAAACCTAAAAAGCTTTATCATTTTGTCATAAATGCATTTCTATTTAAAATTAACATTGCATGAATTGAGCATAAGTACATTTTTGCATAAATTAATTATTAATTGCAAGATAAAAATAGTTAAGCCATAAAAATGCATTCTTTAATTCTATAGCTAAATAAGCAATGGTACAAGGCTGGGCAAGTTAACAATTTTTTTTAACTCGTTAAGTTATTTTAAAATAATAAAGTTAAGTTAAATTAAAAGTTAATCATATTTTTTTCGTTTTTAATCTTAAAAAAAAGTAACTTATTAAGTTGAATTTAATTTGTAAAAATGTAACGAGTTAATTAACTTAACGTTTTAACTTAATTTTAACTATTAACTCGTTAATGCCCAGCCTTGCAATGGTGAATATCTGTTTATGGTTTAAGTACAATGTATTCAAGTTAATATAATATGAATATTTATTACAATTATAACTACACTTCCATAGAATTATTAGAATTTATTTATTAATACAATATTTATGTATAATAATATATATTTTACTGATCAATTAATTTGAAATTTACACTAACCTGTAGGATTGGTATCTTCAGTGACAACTTCTAAATCTATGCCTTCATTTTTACTATATAATGATTCATCAATATTTTCACTGAATCCTTCAACTTTAAATTTCAAAATACACATTTAATATTAAATTATACTATGTAAAATTCAAACATCTTATTAATAATATATTACCTGCGTTGTTACAATTGATTCTGTTTTCTTTACTGATGTCTGTTGTTGCAACAGTGTTATTCACATGTATTTCTTTAGTAATTTTACTGAAATCTTTGATTTAAAAAATAATTATACAATCAATATTGGTTTTTAAATAATTAATACTAACCTGTAGGATTGGTATCTTCAGTGACAACTTTTAAATCTATACCTTCATTTTTACTATATAATGATTCATCAATATTTTCACTGAATCCTTCAACTTTAAATTTCAAAATACACATTTAATATTAAATTATACTATGTAAAATTCAAACATCTTATTAATAATATATTACCTGCGTTGTTACAATTGATTCTGTTTTCTTTACTGATGTCTGTTGTTGCAACAGTGTTATTCACATGTATTTCTTTAGTAATTTTACTGAAATCTTGGATGTAAAAAATAATTATACAACCAATATGGATTTTTAAATTAATACATAAATAGTATCCAACAATATGTTGTTATTCACCTTCATGGTCATCATATTTTATGATTTCGAAAATGGAAGTTATTGGTTATTAACATTTATTTTGAAAAACGTACCATTATCCTGATGAGTTTTTGGTTTTTTTGGAATCAAAAATTCTGTCAGTGTGTGGTTGTTATAATTTTTTGATGATTTTCGCTTTTTGCAAGCATTAACATGTCTTTGCCAATTGGTTAAATTAATATTTACATCATGAACGCGACCACAACTTACACAAGTTGTAGGCATTATTAATTTTGATTACTGTAGTCTGTAACGAGCGTAACGAGTAACGGCTAACGAAAAATGGAAAAGGTGTAGGGAAATTGGGAAATAGTGAATACTAATTTATAACCAGCATTTGAGCATTGATTATATAATCAATGTAACTAGTAACCAATTTCTATAAATAACTAATAAGAAACTTAGATAATATTACAATAATAGTGTTAATGATAATTTTATGTTATCATTAGGTACAAAAACACTGTGTGGTTCACATTGCTAATCAGTGTTGCCCAAAGAAAAGAATCATAATATTATCATTATATCATTAATCATAATATTATACATTATTAATTATTATTATAATACATTAAATTGTACTTAGTCTATATCGTGTATTCGTGTGCCGTGTGGCGAGTGTTAGACACTGTTAGTAGGCACTTCCGTCCAGTATCAAAATTACGAGTACGGAGTATTTACATTTTATGAATGGTAACTGAGCAAATATTTTCTTAATGTGAGATAGGACCCCAGTCCCCAGGACACCCACCACCCCTCAAACTGAGGCACGTGCCTCAAATATAGTCCTTCGTCACGCCACTGCTAAGACCTATCAAGTTATGTCTCCTTTCGAGTGGAGTAATGTGATCCAAGAACACTTTTTTTTGCACACTAAACTACCTTGTTGTCTTGTATTTAAAAAAGCAAACATCAGCTTAAATGGTAAATTTTTTTTAACAATACGAGGACGTTGTTCTGACTGTGGATCAATTTTTGATGGTGTTGTTAAAGATATTCCTAATACGGAATCTAGGTAAGAAGAAAATAATTTATTTTAAAATGTTTTGTGACGTATCCTTATTAATTTTTAAATTTTTAACAGAGTCATAATGGAATGCAATTATTCAGGAAATTATAAAATTTCACATTCAAAGAAACGTAAATTATTTGGAAGTGAAAAAATTCGAGCATTAACTACGATGCTAAATGAAAACGTTAATCCTTCAGTGTTTAACCGTATTGAAGCAAGTCGTTTAATGTCTGAAGGTGAGATGCATTAAAAAAAATTGTATTTTTTATATACTTAACTATTTAATAAAAATAACTTTAAAAAAATAATATTTTATAAATTATAAATAATACAAATAATAATAAACAATATTAAATAAAACCTAAAAAATCAGAAAGTTACTATTATGCATTAAAACAATTATCCTTTGCTTGACAATTAGTTATCAGAGTTACCAATTTTTCAACGCCTAATAAAACTATTATTTTTTCATCCTTAAATTAAAAAAAATTCCAATCTTAATAATTAAACCATTTAAATTTTATAAATAAGTTTATTTTGAATATATGAACTATTAAGTCCTAATATCTATAATATAATAATTTTAAGACTTTTATTCATTTTAGGTGATAAAGCCCCTGCACAAATTCCAAGCTTGATAAGTCTTAGAACAGCAAAAAGCAGAGCAATTTCCTTAACAAGGCTTCATCAAGACCCAGTAATTGCAATAAATATTATGAAATACAATTCATCATTTTGTTCTACTATTCGTGATATTGGTTACGATGGTTTTTTTGTTCATTTTTGGAGCAACTTACAACTTCGAATTTACAAAGATTGTTACTCAAAATGTAAAATTCCTTCAATATCATTTGACGCTACAGGAGGATGTTGTAGAAAAATAAAAAGACCGGACAACACTATGAGTAGTAACCTATTTCTGTATGAAGGTGTTATGGAAGTAGATGGAAAAACATTCACAGTTTGTTCAATGATTTCCGAAAAACATGATACATTAAGTATATGTACTTGGTTAAAACGATGGTTGAAGTGTGGTGTCAAATCTCCTAAAATGGCTATATCTGACCAATCTTTGGCCCTTATGTCTGCAATTGTACAATCCTTTACGCAGTACAATTCCCTTGAAGAGTACTTAAGAATATGTTTCAAATTAATCATGAATACTCAAGTTAACGAAAAAGATATACCTTTATGTTTTGTAAGAAATGATATCAACCATTTTGTAAAATTAATATCACAATGGACTCCACTTAAAAAATCTAAGTTCCCTAGAACTAGACAATTGTTTATTCGTTCTATGACACTATTAATATATTGTTCTTCAATGGAAGAAGCAAAACAAATTTTAGAAGCTATTTTCAAAGTAGCACTAAGTAAATATGATGGTCTTTGTTTAGGAGCAACAAATAATAATATTACAGAAGAAACTCCTTGCGCTAAAAGTAAAAAGTATTTACAATCACTTATTTCAAACAAATCATCGTATTTTCAAACTTTTGATAATTATATAGAAAATACAATATCTAATGAAGAATCAAATTCTGTAAATGAAAGTATATGTGCAGATATCGATAGCTCTTTTATGAATTGGGCTTCTATAATTGCAAATCGTTCTAAAATAGATGTTGAACAACTGGAAGGAGAATATGACAACGCCCAGTATGTACCAGAAATTGTTCCGTTGGTACTTAATGCGATGAAATTATATCCATGTTGGTCGGGAATTATGACGAAGACTTTCAAATATGGAGATGCCTCAGTTTCAAGTTGTCGGGTGGAAAGTAATTTCAATAATATTAAGAATAGAGTTTTCAACGGAGACAACTTACCAATGAGAGTTGACAATTTTTTAGAAAAGTTAGTCTCTTATTACAATGGGGATCATTTGTTACTTCAAAGTTCAGATTCAATTGTTACAACAAACTCTAATATTGATGAAAATTTAGGATCAAACCTTGATACAAATAACTATAATTCACAAACGGTTTCTTCAAATAAAAGTATAATCAATGAACACCATTTGAATGACCAAGAACTTGAAACAGATTGTACAGATGAAGGATTTTATATTGGCGGCACTATTAACAATTCAAATCAAAAGTTGTATAACAAAAATGTTGTACAAATTGAAGAAGATCAAGATATGGAATGTACTGAAAAAAGAAAAACCTCAACTGGGACTATATTAAATAATGAATTTAATACCAACATATGTCTGCCATGTAAAAATGGAGATTTCCCAACAGGTATACATCGGTGTGCTTTTTGTAATAGATCTGTACACTTATTTGGTTGTTCAGTTAATCTTGTAGATAGCGAAGAAGGCTACGGAGAATCACGAATATGTTTGTTATGTTTTAACCAGTCAGAAGAAAATAACGCTGAAGAACAATGGCAAAAAAAAAATATATCTAATCGGCCCCCCATTAGATCAGCTAACTCATATCTTACTTCCCAACCAGGATTCGATCATTTAGATTTAAGCCAAAATGGCTCCATAAAGGCAATAATATTTTTGAAAAATGGTAATACTTTTCAAAATAAACCTTGCACCTTACCAGGAATTGGTAAAGTAATTCTCAATAATAGTTGTTCACCAGATTCGTTGATGTCTATTTTAGCCTGTGCTGCAGCAGACAGTAAGGTTTATTATGATTATTTATCAAGCATATCAAAAAAAGATAAAACTGCCAAATTTATTATTAGCATGCTAAATACAAAAACAAGGAAAGTTATGCACAAAGAACGAATAATATTATTAGCTCCTTATTTTTTATCTAAGGACAAACATCTTATTGGTGGTATCAGTACAATTGATGCAATGGATACATTATCTTCTACAGCACATAAAATGTTAAAAAATATGCCATCTTACAAGAAAATAAATCAATGTACAAATTTCACGTGTGAAGATTTTTCCAGTCAACAGAGTTATGAAGTCGTAACATTAACAGCGATTGATGGAAAAATAAATATACAAAAAGAAGTAGATATTTTTTTTAAAAATGAAACCACCATATGTTCCTACTGTGACTCTAAAAGAAACATTACAGTAAATGTTAAAAAAAATGTTTTGATTGAGCTGGTTTCTATTCCTAAAGGTAATTTTTTTTTTAATTGTACCTCAAAATCTAATGTTATACATAACCATTAAACTATTTTTTTGTATAGAACTTGAAGCATCAACAAGTGCTCTTGATATTGATATTATAAATGACATACAACAAAATTATGCTGGAGAAACATTGTTGACATTGGATGAGATACCAAAAACATTAAATGTGAATGGCCATACTTATTATATCCGAGGAACGATTGTCTTTAATAGTGGCTTACGTACAGGACTCAGAGTTACAAGTGGTCACTATAAGGCATTTGCATATAGGAAAAATAACTATTGGGAAGTTTATGATGACCTAAAAGATGGCATCACTCAGCCAAAAGCAATAAAAAATAATGTCGAGGTCATAATATATACAATTTAATAATGTCAATGACACAATTTTTATATTTGAAACTACCTACCATTTACAAAAGCAATTTTTAATATTTATTTTTTAAATGTGTAAAATATATTTTATAATATTAGTTATTATTATCTAAATTTTGTAAATTAAGGGTTATTCTTGTAATGTCTAGTTAGATCTCTGATAACGCTAACTGGCAGAATATTGGTTATCGAAGTAAAAACTTTTACTTATAGATACCATGCAAATGATGAAAAGCTGTGCGGTATCATGGAGAATTCAATAAGTTATGTAATTATAAGATCTTGATGGTCCCACCTCCTAGAATATGTTTAAGCATTGTGAATGTTTAATTCATAGATCAAAAGACATTTTATATTAATTAGGTACCTATATTTTATGAAACAAGGAATCAACCTGATATTGTGTTAAATGTAGTTTTAGGGTCCTTAACTTTGAGAAAATATTTACAAATACCTAATACTTAAAGTTGAAAAACTGATACTTAGTGGACTGTTCATATTGTTCAAGAAATACAACAAAATTGTTACAAGGCGGATATCTGTAAGTTGAGGTAACTTTTGTATAGGTAATATTTAAAAATGTTTTAAATTATTTACTTGGATTTAATAAAAATACCTATAATGCATTGCGAAATCCTGCTACAAATGTTATTCTTGACGTTTAACATTATGATAGTATAGGTACATATATGGTCACTTGTTTGTTTCTCATTTGAATGAAGATTCCTTTTTACAAACTTAAGTAAACAAGGAAGGTACATAACAAGAATCGCTTAAATCTTTTGATTTTTTATTTCCAACAAAGTGAACACAACATAGCAAACTATGTGACTTTGGCTGCCAAAGTTGACAATTTTTTTTTCTAAAAAAGAAGTTGCAGTAAAATTATTTTTAGCACTACTATGGAGGTAAAAGAAAAAAATCCAAAACTGATATTTATTAGGTACCTATTAGTACAACGTACTCGGATCGTTTTACTCTCAGTACATTTAGGTAGGTATTCCTTGTGAGAGCAACTATACAATTTTAAAATGTTGTATTTTTATTTTTAAAGGATATTACAACAATTATCCATTCAACATATTCAATTACTCTTTTTCGACAATAAAGTAAACGATACGTCTTGTTTTATTCAACTTTGAACTTTCGACAAAATTAAAAGTATGATCAAGGATCAACTAAGAATTAATAAAAAACAACAGCATTGTTACCTAATAATAAAAGAGCTTATGATGTTATCAACCAGATAGTGCTAGTATAGGTTTGTACAGTACCTATAGAAATATATAGATCAGACTATATTTTAAGGAATTATCACTGGGCGATTTTAAAAAAAATTTCAAGCTGACTATCATAATCAATGTATTATGAACTTTAAAAACTTTTCAGTATTAAATATTGTAAAAAGTATTACATATATGGCTATATCTAATAATACCATCAAAACTCACAACACATAAATAATTTATAAGTTAGGTAAATTTATAATTTTTTCAAACTTTTTCAAAGAACTTCTGTATGTAGAAATGGTTTTTATACGCTTGTTCGACTTTAAAGTTAAATTCTAAGTTAAATTCTAAGAGGTGTACAAAATTTAATTTTGGTTGTACAAAATTGTACAAAATAAAGTACATAATACTGTATCGTTGAAAATTGAATTTGTTCAAAATTCGTTAGAAGCAGTGCTGGGGTAACGTTACCGCAGCACGGACGTGGTAAAATGGCGTTTTCTCGGGTTCGGGGAGGTGTACAAAATATAATTTTGGTTGTACAAAATTGTACAAAATAAAGTACATAATACTGTATCGTTGAAAATTGAATTTGTTCAAAATTCGTTAGAAGCAGTGCTGGGGTAACGTTACCGCAGCACGGACGTGGTAAAATGGCGTTTTCTCGGGTTCGGGGAGGTGTACAAAATTTAATTTTGGTTGTACAAAATTGTACAAAATAAAGTACATAATACTGTATCGTTGAAAATTGAATTTGTTCAAAATTCATTAGTGGCAGTGCTGGGGTAACGTTACCGCAGCACGGACGTGGTAAAATGGCGTTTTCTCGGGTTCGGGGAGGTGTACAAAATTTAATTTTGGTTGTACAAAATTGTACAAAATAAAGTACATAATACTGTATGGTTGAAAATTGAATTTGTTCAAAATTAGTTAGAAGCAGTGCTGGGGTAACGTTACCGCAGCACGGACGTGGTAAAATGGCGTTTTCTCGGGTTCGGGGAGGTGTACAAAATTTAATTTTGGTTGTACAAAATTGTACAAAATAAAGTACATAATACTGTATGGTTGAAAATTGAATTTGTTCAAAATTAGTTAGAGGCAGTGCTGGGGTAACGTTACCGCAGCACGGACGTGGTAAAATGGCGTTTTCTCGGGTTCGGGGAGGTGTACAAAATTTAATTTTGGTTGTACAAAATTGTACAAAATAAAGTACATAATACTGTATGGTTGAAAATTGAATTTGTTCAAAATTAGTTAGAAGCAGTGCTGGGGTAACGTTACCGCAGCACGGACGTGGTAAAATGGCGTTTTCTCGGGTTCGGGGAGGTGTACAAAATTTAATTTTGGTTGTACAAAATTGTACAAAATAAAGTACATAATACTGTATCGTTGAAAATTGAATTTGTTCAAAATTCGTTAGAGGCAGTGCTGGGGTAACGTTACCGCAGCACGGACGTGGTAAAATGGCGTTTTCTCGGGTTCGGGGAGGTGTACAAAATTTAATTTTGGTTGTACAAAATTGTACAAAATAAAGTACATAATACTGGATAAGTCTGAATTTCAATTTCAAATATGGCAGTGCTGGGGTAACGGAGCTGTTTTATTCGTTTCTATAGTGATAAATAAAGCGTTAGAAATTAAAATCCCATTATTAGCGGTTTTTTGTAATTTTTCGGTGTGTTTTCCCATGGAATCAAATAATTATTAATAAATTCGAAAAATGGCCTCTTTAAAGTACCAACCTGATCCAATTTTCTAAAAGATAAGGTACTATATGTATTGAAGCACTCCTTCTGGTAGAAATTTTGTATACAGAATATATAAAAAAAAAAATAAACAAAGAAACACCATTGTAAAACCACTAACATAACCTATTTACTTAATTTTGATTGGTATAAATAAAACGTGTATTCCCTATACATTCGCCTATTCCTTAATTATGTCAGTGCCGGGGGCTGTAGCCCCCATAGTCACCCTTCATAAGTTTGGCTCTGGAGAGTATCAGTGTGTATTAACAAACCAAGATGTATTTAAATTCAGCTATTATACTATTAGATATTTGTAAATATGGTTGAATAGTGATCACCCACCCCTAATAGTCCATGTTATAAGTACGTGGGTAAAAATTACATTGTCTATCTATATAGTATCAAACTATAAGTATATACCATAAGAGCGGGATACTTTACGCCAGGGGTTAAACCATTACTCCAAAAAAATATTTATTGATATCAATCGTAGCACATTACGATTTTGAGATCAGAGATTGTAGTTTTTTTTATATTATTCTTATTAATATTACTAATTTTTTCAAACATTACGAACATCAATCTATTAGTTTGCCTCCAAGATGTATGTCATGAAAAAAATTGTTTTCAACAACACAAAAACACAACGAAAAAGTTATCCAAAATCTAGGGGATTAAAATTTAATTTAAAATGTATTAAAAAAAAACTTTTAACCAACTAAAAAAAAAAAAATTAGATTATTCAGTTATATTATGTATAGATTCAAATAAGTTAAAACACAAGCACTAAACATTACACCAATAGTTATTATATGCATTAAAGTAAGGTAATTTTAATCATTGTGCAATGTAGCCTAAAATGTATTTTAACTTTGCTCCAAACTTTTGGGAATAAGTAAGTAAGTCACTAGTACGACATTTGGATTTTTTTGAATTTTTCTTACCTCTCAACATCTATACATATAAAACAACGCGAACAGGTAATTTTTATTTTTGTTATTGAAGCTATAGTATAGGTTTAAACTAAAAAAGAAATATATTTGGAGCAAAGTATCCCACTTTTACGGTACTATCTATATAAAAATAAACATGACGTATAAAATACTAAAATATGCACTATTATTGGAAAAATAAAATTTTTTACTAAAAGTTAGAGGCACAATAAATAAACTTCAAATCTTATAACTTCCATGCCTTAGTTATAAGCATTATCTACATTCATCTTTTTTTATTAGCAATTAAATATTCATATGAACATGCTTAGTTGAATATAGTATAACTATATTGTAGTAATTTACTATTTTTAAATATTAAAAACGAAAAAAGAACTAATATATTTTTGATTATTCATTACGCACCTAAGATCTTGAGATTGGGTAACAATTTGGTTGGTTCATCATATTTTACTTGATGAAAAATATCAAGAAAACTATAGGCTGAACTGATAAATTGAAAAAACCAACAAAAATGGTGAAATTTTGTGCATTTCGAAATCTCATTTTCAAACTTGGATATATTATCCATGGTCCTAAATTATTAAAAAAATAAACCTGATGTTACTATATAGTTAGACAGTTAGTTATAAACCTATATTTGTAGTCATTAAATCATTGATTTGAAGTAAAAACAAAATTGTACTACTAAGTAAATTAAATTCAAAATAGTAACTTAAAATTGTAAGTTGGTAAATATGCAACAATAATAAAATATATTTACTTTAAAACATCGTACAATGAAACCGAAATATTGATGATTTTTGACAACTGTTATTAATATATTGTTTATCATAAGCTGCAGACTTAGGGGTTGGAAACGGCGCATGATTTTTTATGTCAGTAAAATTCAAAGATTCTTTTAAACTTTGTATTACCTTACATCAATGGAATATTAAGAACCAAAATATATAATCTATATTTATTTTTGTATCGAAGCGTCGTTCACGATGTCTAAAATATCATTGTTAGTAAATTGATGCCCTGTAATGCCGAAATAGCACCAGGCTATTTATTTTTATATTAATATTATTAGGTTCTTAATAATCATAAAATCACTACCATAAAACATTTATGTACCTACCTATTACACAATTATTAATTTTTAATATTTAATCTATAATTTTATTGTAATAGTATCATACTTTAAAATTTTGTACAGTTCGATATTGTTCGCCAACTGCCAACCATGTGTATTAATAATAATTATTAGCTTGGAAATACCTGCAACAAAAATTGATCAGTTATTTTCTAATTTTAAACTTTATTTGTATCGTTAAGTTTATGCATTTATATAAATATAACACAAATATTAACAATATTAATCATCAGGAACTGAGTAAAAGTAGTGCACTAGGCATAATCAAATTTATCCACCCCAAAATATAAGTATTATCACTGTTTTGAAAATGCCACCCCCTTACTAAAGTGTCAAGCCAGGCGTGGGCCTAAGCCCCGTACCCTTAACCCGTGCCTTTTAATTATTATTCATTTTTCAGAAATAACTAATCAATAAAATAATTATAATATAATACAATAACGTAACTAAAAAATATAAAAATAAATTTACGATCAATTAAAATTGTTCTTTAACGTAATGCGATTGTTCATGATAGGTACAAAAATTTTATTTAAATTGTAAACCTAATTAGATTTAATTTTAAATGTTATGTATTCACACTTTTTTTTTAATCCAAGGTTCTGCGGTTAGAATAATAAATGTATTACAATAAACTGACAATTAGTTACAAATTATACAACCTCAAATCACTTGAAAAAATGCGTAGTTACAATACCTAATTTACGGTTCTAAGAACAACTACCTTACATATACGGGTGACCTAACCACCTGTCCTTAAAGGGGCGATACTCCTCTTAAATAATGTTTCGGTATATTTCGGATTTCAATAATTTTGTTGCTAGTTTCCGCGAATTTCTAATTTCACCATACAAAAATTTAATACGCTTTTGCTCTAAAGAGTTTTTCCCCATAATAGGAGGTTTGAAAGTAACGGTAATTAAGTAAAAAGTATAAACAATATTTCTCCAAATTATGTTATTAAGTAATTTGTACTTCCTTTTTGGTAATTTGACAACATTTTTTTTTTATTAAATAAAATGAAATATAGAAATGTTGAATAGGTAGTAATATATGAAAAAAAAAATGTGAATACACATATTTTGTAATAATAGGAATTTGAGCTGGAATTTATTACAAATGAGATTAAATAGTTATCTATAACCATAAACAGATTAGGTATAGTACCTAATAGATATTACTATAATAAAATAAACATCAATATTTTTTTTTCTTTCTTGACTCTAAAATTAAATGTTATTACGCCTAGCATAAAAAATATAATAACCATTATGTATCATCATTATTACATTTATTATATTTTTTTCCTCTCCTTTGATGTAGCTCTTCTCACCAATAATAAGGATAGCCCCCCCCCGTTCCTTTTTAAAGTCATGATCCACAGAATGAAATGTTTGGTGTTCGATTCCTGATGTAGAAGTTCTAAAGATGTTTTGTTGTCTAAAAATATGGTTTGTTTTTGAAAAAATACCTATGTACAGTATTCTTATTATATATATTAGGTACCTTAATAAATAATTTATAGTTCTACAGTGCTGGGGTGTATATTATATTATGTCATTGTTTTGTAATGGTTTTTGCACTTAAAAGTATTCATATGAGTAAGGAATGAAATAAATGTAGCTAATGGCCTAAGCTACGGGCTCAAGATCAATAAAAAAAAATATAATAATAAATGTATTATCGTGTTTAATTAATGATATAAGTACTACCTATGTCCTATAGAACATTATAGGCATTTACGTTAATACTTGGTATATATTATAATATACATCAGACAATTTTAAAGTTTAAAGTGTGATTTTAATACTATTTTTAAATTGTATTTTAAATGAAACATGTTTTTTTTTTGTTACCACAGACTTGCTTGAAGGTATAATAATATACATTTTACCGGCTACATCGAATATTCCCACTTAACACCACCTCATCAACAATATAATTATGATAAAAATATAATATATACCAACATACCAGTTAATTTGACGTTTGCGACAGTCGGTTTTCCGGTTATCCCGGTGAAAAAGGCAATGAGATGTGACAAGGCGACGCCCACCGTAAAGTTTTTTAAGAAGCGGCTGTGCTCTTGGCTTTTGTATAACTCGTATACAAACGTGTTCAACATCAATAAGAACGACAATGTGTTCAGGACCAGGAACGTGAGGTTGTACCATGTCGTCTTGGCCAACGTTTCGGACACCACTGGCACGTTGTCGTGGTTGCTGTCGTTTATCGGCGCGTGTGTGGCGCTGTCGTATAAGTTTTTGTTGATCGCTAAGGAAATGGGTAGGCTCGGCGACGCAGGCGCAATTGTACTTGAATCGGTGATTTTGGATCCGGCCACTACGTCTTTTTTGAGGGCGATCGACGAGATTGAATTGTGGCCCGCGATTTTGGCAGGAGGAGACACAGTGTGGGACATCACGGCCGTCGTGGTCATGAAGATGGCTATGGCGGCCAGCAAGCAACTCGAAGATGTGTGTGAATTCATGTTGTCGATATTATTATAAATTTATTTTTTAGTGGAATAGTGGCTGGATGGAAGTGGACGGGTCAAAGAATCGTAAAGGAAATGTCTATTATAATATTACCGTATTTAATCTATTTAATGTATTTTTAAATCAAATCGAATAATTATTTTATTTATAATTTTTACTGTGTGGTTAATGATGCAGTAGATGTGGAAAATTTAGAAAGAGATTCTGTGATAGCGTAATTTTTCAGGAAAATGCTCTGCGATAACACACTTGAATCAGTGACTGGAATCCAAAATACTCTGACGGATCCCGCGTCGTTAGGGACTATTTATAACATCGTGAGCTTTAGAGAGGCGCTCTTGTCGGCCGTTTATAGTGCCACACGGTTGTCCACCCACAGAAGCTAACCACCCACTACCCTTCTTAGAAGTTCAGAGTCAACGCCGCCGCCACCGCTGCCATCGCCGCTACCACTGACGATGAAGTTGCCCACCCCATCCCCCCCCCCGACTAACACTGAGCCCAGAACAATGAATTTGTCCCTTGTTACAATATTACAAATAGGTATTATTATTACAAAACAAATTCACAGAAAATGTATAAATTCTTCATCGAAATGTCTATGAAAACAAAATATCTTTGATACGAATGATGTTCCGTTATTTGTCCAAAAAATAAATTAATAATAATTATTAAAATTATTTCAATTATTGAAAATTGTGATGTTTTAATAAACTAATTTTTAGAACTATACAAATACTTGACGATTATTGTAAAAAAAATATTAAGCACTTAGCCGAAATAAAGTATTTCAAATTATTTATCACGTTGACCTTCAACGAGTACCTATATTAATATGACAGTCACTTGAGTGGTGTAATTTGTTCATTTTTAAATTTTTTTTTGGGGGGTATGGTGGAGATAAAATATATGTACATTTTACCTATCTACTACTCTTCAAGAAAATGTTTGTTTATATCATGATAAATCTTCAATACAAGTACTGTACTATTGTGAATGTATAATGTAAATACCTAAATTTAGGTATAAATATGTGCAAATCGGTAAAGAAATAATAATCTAAATAATATTTAAATATTCACAGTATAGGTACAATAATTGATAATATAGCTGTTATACATAATACGACGTTGCAAATGTGTGTGACCATCCTGTTATTTATTTTCATACTACACTACTATATAATATAATATTTATTGTGTTTATTACGAAGTAATATTATCTTATTTATGTATAGCTAGCATAGGAGTTCGGTTTTTTTTTGTATTATTTCTATAAACAATACAGTAGTATTATATTAGTATATAAGTGTGGAATGCCAGTATTTACAAAAAATCTCGATAGTATCGTTGAGAGGGGGAGTTATTCAATTAAATCCCCCATAATTCCGCTACTGGGTCACTTTAATAAATCCTGTTTTAAAAATATATGTTTAGATAAAACAAATATTTTGTGACAGTCATAAACCTAAGTGTCACCTAAGTGAATACATTATTTAATTTTTCCTTAAAAATTGTATTAGGTATTCAATTATGTGATTCGTTGATACGACATATTTTCATAATGTAGCTACACTCATATTGAATATGCATGTGTGTATTACTGTATTAAGAGCTAGTTATAACTTATTGCATTTCAATAATGTAATTCAAAATTATCATGTAATAGTCAAACACCATTAATAATAAATTTAATATGAATTTATTTGTATTGAACTTCTTTCGAGTATAAAACTGTTAGATTATAATTCTTTTAAATTTAATTGAAAACAATTCTGTTTGAATATTTATTATGTTAAAATTTAAAAAAAAATAACATTCACTTATAAATTGTTTTTTGGATACAATTCGTAAAAGAACTAATTTTAATTTAATTTTCTTCAATCTTATAAAAAAAAAAAAAAAAAACGAATCATAAACCTTTCAAAATAGACTTCTGAGAATTTTTTTGAGAACGGAATAGTTTTTATTTCTTAAAGATTTAACAGACCCACACTTTTATACAACCCCCAGTTATCCGATGGCCAAACAAATGCTTGCTGTTTTTCATATCTGGTTAAAAGTATTTTGGTAGGTATTGAATAATTATTTCAAGAATTAACTAGAGTATAATGTACACTTCTCCCAGAGATATTCGTTGACTCGTTTTTTTACAAATTACCAATTATTGTCTTGATTTTAATTAATTCCTAATTGCTAAACTTTTATTTAAATGATATTTACTACTCTATTGTGACGTATTTTACTATAAAGTAATATGTGAATTTTGTATTATAGTACCTATATAAAAATACTTTTATCTGCATATCAAAGCCACCTATATTAGTTGAGCAGTATATTATATATCATCAGTGCCGATGTTTTCCTTTCTCTATCACGAGGTGTTTAACGTTCACCACCAAAATCTAAACTTAAGTACATAACCCCGCAAGGGATTTTATAATATTGATTTCGAAAACGTACCTATTAAGATAATACAGCTACCAAAGTTATATAAATCCAATTTTCAATAGGTTAGGTTTGATAACTAGATAATCATAATTAAACAATGTTATTATAAGACATTTTGGCATTCGTTAAGATTTAGGTACTTAATTTGACAACACAGTTTAACACTAAAATATATTGTACTCGTAATAATACGATAGGGAATATTCAAAATGTTAAATTTTCTAAGAGTAAAATTTAGCTTTAGACGTTTTAATACATACCATAATTGTAATAAATTGTTTATCATTATTAGTACCATTTTACTTTAAAATATTATGAAGTTATTACCACTGAGCTTACTTAGCCTCCAACTTGATGCACACAGGTAAATCTATCTAATTAGCATTTGCAAGACATGATTTAAATTCTACGCAGGGTGTTAAATTGTGTAGGGACTACAATGCTATTTCGTTAACATGAATTATCACATAGTTAGATAGATTAATTAATGAGCCGTAGTCTTTAAATATATATATACACAGATTTTTTGAAAATGCTCACGAGACATGATTTAAATTCTACGCAGGGTGTTAAATTGTGTAGAGACTACAATGTTATTTCGTTAACATGAATTATAACATAGTTAGATAGATTAATTAATGACCCGTAGTCTTTAAATATATATACAGAGCGATTTTTTGAAAATGCTCACCTCCATTTTTATTTTTAATAATACTTTTATTCAAAATCTGAATTTTAGAATTTTTATGTCTACCTAAAAACAACATTTTTACTTAAGGAGTGTCCTGTGGCGATACAAACTTATATTTTTCAATTGAGTACCAAAAAATCTCTAGTTTTAAAAAAAGATTGTTTTTTCCAAAAATCAGAATTATTTGATTATATTTATGATTTACTCATAAAAATAGGGTGAGTATGATTAAAAAATCACCCTGTATACCTATATATATTATATGAGTATTTAATATTGGTATACTATTTGACAGCAAAATTATACAAAACAGGTAGTATGATTGAATTATGAAATACAAATAAATAAGTTACTCACCTATTTATTACATAGATTTTGTACTTAAATCTCAAGAGGAATAAAAATTAATTCATGTATTTTTCGAGTTCTAAAACACAACTTAAAAACACTTCAAGGGACAAGAAAAAATTCAAGTTAACTAGACGCGACTGCTGTATGAATTAGTCAAACCACACAATAAAAAATATTCACGGTCATCAGATTGCATCATCTGTTCGACTAGGTCCCATTCCACGGTGAGTGTAAAGTCAGCCCGTGTCTATACTATTGGAGAAAGAGGGTAGTTTTTGAATGACAAATAACACAAGGTCTCATACAAGCTGGTCTAAAAATATTAAACTTATAGTATTACACGTATCAATTGGATGTATATTCATAAAATTAACATATACAACAAATAATCAATTAAGATAACTCATTTTACATAAAAACAACAGAACCTAACCTAACCTAAACATAATTCAATATCAATAATATTAAAAAACCAACTCCCAAAAATAAATAATCATGACAAAATGTAGAAAAGAATTATAATAAATAAAGATTCACAAAAATACAAATATTGTGTTGTTACTACTGATCACGATGGCAACTTACTGGAAGGTGACTACTACTTATAATTTTAACCTCAAAAGTTCCGTTCGAGTATACTCTCGTATAGGTACCTAATACCTATTATAAACAGGGAGCCTACTTATGTGTTCTAATAAATTTAGAAATATGTGTACCTACATCGGTCTAGGACATTTCGGCGTGGCCATCTCGGCGTGGCTGTTTCGGCGTAGGGCCGTTTCGGCGTAGAGCCCATTCAAGAAATTAGATAGGTCACCATAAAATATAAAAATATAAATAATTTTTGTATAAAAACTGTATATAATAATTAGGTATATTTAAGTATAATAATACAAAGTTAATTAAAATAAGGAGAATGCTATTAAAATTATGAATAAAAATATTCAGGTCATCATACTTAAATTATGTGCTATTCCTCTTAAAAAACTCATAATATTACGATTATCATAATCGCAGACTAATTAAATACGTTTATCGACGTCGATGTATTTTTTTTTCTTTTTTGGTGGACTTTCACCTATTTCTAATTGGCAAAAGAAGGTGTCTCGGCCACTTTGTATTCTCCTTAAACATGATATAAATGTCCACACGGTCAACTGCCATTGTACGATTTGCCGCTTCTGCATGATTATTTGTTCGATCTTCTTTATTAAGTACGCGATCATGAACGTTCCAAATTATAGGGGGAAAAGTGGGTTTCGACGACGATTTCTTACAACTGTACCGATGAAGTTTTCTTCAAACCATCCTAAGAGAGGACGTATTTCTTCAGGCAGTTCATCATATAATAAGTTTACACTATTGTAAATGTCGTCAATTTTAACAAAAGCTAAAGCCAAAATTGTTTTAATATAAATTGAAAATTCTGCATCATTTTTATACTTCAAAAATAATTCCAGGTCACTCATTATGCACATATATTTCACGTCCACGGAAAGTTTCAATTGCTTGCGCCACGG